AAAGGAAAGCTCAAGGCAGAGTGCTACAAGAAACTGGAAGAAGTCACTTGCACTTAAGGGGTGGGGATAAATAAAGTCTTCATGGAGGACACAGCATCTGAGTTAAGCATTGAAAAACAGCATTTGACAGATGAAAACAGAGATGGTGGGTGGGTGGAGGGGGGAGGAAGTCCAATGTAGGTATGGGAAATAGAGTGAGAAGCAGCACAAAGATGGCAAGGGCAGGATCAAGACTGGGAAGGGAGAATGGTTCAGTTTGACTAGAATGTAGTAGCCGTAAAGGGGAATAGAATGAGATAGAGATGGACAGAGCTAAGACTATAACCCATTTCTATTAGGCAGTGTGGTTACTGATTTAAGCAGGACTTGCAAGGTAGTGCTTTATGTAGTTCTACCTGGACATGCAGAAGGCCCAAATTCGTACACAGCAAGATAAACCCGCTCTTTGAATACTTCCTGCGGCCTATGAAGCATAAAGAGGTGAACCCAACACTGGCCTATAAGACAAACCTCACATTTGCATAGCACCAGCAGAATTCAGGACTAGTATAGCAGTGACTGTATATAAAGAAGCCCAAAGCTAGTTTTCTTCTGTACCCAGGGGGCAGGGTAGTACAGTGGAAAGGATACTGGATTTGAAGTTGTAAGACCTAGGTCTGAAACCGGCTCTGCCAAGGCACTGGGCCTTTCTCTGAGCTTCTTTCCTCATCTCTTTATAAAAAAAAAAAAAGAAAGAAAATGAGAAGACTCATATTACCTTCCTCTCAGGATTGTTCAAGAAAGACCATAAATCTTGAAGCACTACATAAATGACAGGCACTGTGGTATGAATGGCTGAATGAAAAAACTTTTACCATGTCCTCAGTATACTACAGACTGAGAATACAAATAGAAAAAAAAAATGTAGTCCCTGTCTAGGAATACTTACTGTAATTGGGGAAGACAATGCAACAAGAAAATTCAGCTGAAGGGTAGATTGAAAGGCTCAGGAGTTCTTCGGAGGTATCAGAGTATTTGCCCTAGCACCAATGGGCAGGGGAATGGGACCAAAGGTCAGAGTGGAGAATGGGCCTGGGTTCGTTCTAGCAGTGAGAGAGAGGAGAAAGAAGGGTCAATGTGTAGCCAGGAAGGACTTGGGGAAAAGGGGAAGGAACCATTGGCAGCAAAAGTTGTGTATGGGCAGTCCCACCTGGTACTAGCTCTGGCTAAGGGCTCCTCCTGTACAGTGAAAAGTACACTGGACTTAAGAGGCCCTGGTTTTAACTTCCACCTCTGACCTCTCTAGCTGTGTAGTGTTGGACAACTCACATAGCTTCTCTGTACCTGTTTCCTCACCTGTAAAACAGGGGGTCAGCCTAGGTAGTCTAAGAGGTCCCTTCCAGGTCTGGATCTATGACCCTAATATAGTAGTATTATCTAGTACACAAAAGACTGATGATTAGGAACTTGTTTCTTCAGCCACACCCATGGAAACATTGTTAGTAAGCCATCTTTGAATAGTAAAGACAGTAATATCTACACTCCTATCACAATAATGATGTGCTTGGTATGGAAAACAGCTATAAATGTTAGACAGTGACTTTTTACAAATAACACATAATATAGGCAAATGAACAAGCTTATTTATAACTTCACTTTTCAAGGAAAGCAACTCTGAAGACAGAAAATAATTAGGGACCCTCTATTCCAAACAAGGTCTGTTTAAAAGAGCACCAAACTGGGATTGATACCAGTTGTTACAACAAATGCTACTATTATTCCTAGCCTATTAAGATGCCTGAGAGGCACCAAGGTGCCATGGAAGGAACAATGAATTTGGAGGTAGAGGTTCTGGGTTCAATTATGAGCTCTGACAGTTATAACCTGTGCCACCTTGGACAAATCACTGACCTTCTTTTGCCTTAGTTTCCTCATCTGTAAAATGAAGAGGTTGGACTAGATAGCCTAGGTGGTTCCTTGCAGGTCTTAATCTCTGATCTTAGAAAGATTGCTATACCAACACCAAGCAAAGGCCAGTTTCCATCAACAAAGAAATTCTACAGGTAACAGAGAACAATGACCTGGTTCAAAAGTTTAGTTACTCATATCCTTCTTCTGAACAAATGACTTGTAGTACTCATTCACACTCTTTCACTGTCCTAGTAACAGCTCAGGCTCTGACTGCTTTTTGAAATGGAGTAGTTGGTAGTGAGCCAATTTCCCATCTTATTCTTCCTCAATAAAAGATAATTTTCATTATGCCAAAGGGTTCATGCAATATATTTATCACTTACCCTTTTTTTCTTCTTGTAGGATGGTTTTTCTTTTCATGTTTCAGAAGGGGAGATAAAAGCATAGCAAAATTATCTAGTGCAAGATCAAAGTGTGGGCCTTAGTTAGAACTTCTTGTTTCCATACTGAATGGCTGGCTCATACATGGAGTTCCCTAACTAGAAAATGTAGTAAATATATTCAAGCTGTACAGAAATAGTTGTAGATAGAAAGTGTGCTATCTCTTCAACTGCTATCCATCCTGAAAAAGGGAAATGGTACAGGTAGGTGATGGAGAAATAATCATCAGGTAGAATCATATATGAAAGTTAAATGTAAGTGGCAGAATCAGAGCAAATCCAACATCTATGCTCATTCCACTTCTGAAGAAATGAAGGCATCCTTTAAGGAGAGGAAAGCTATGATAGGGGAAAGGGAGAGTAAGGTATTATTACCTATACTACAGTCTTTCTTCTCATGTATTACAAACTACATTACAAATGAAGTTGTACTAAGGTCAAACTATAAGCTCTTGGCTAACGCTTTTAAAACACAGAAAAATCCCCCAATCCATAAACTTCTTGGTCTTAAGGCTTACACACCTAATATGCCCTATTACAGTAGGGCATTTTACTAACATTCATGTTACACTGTTCATTTTACTAAGAAAGTGACCATTATACTTCAACTAAACTAAGATAGTTACACTTTAATGTACATTTAAAAATTTCACATGGTTGGCTAAGGTAAGATTTTATGAACAAACACTCCAGAGTAAACATAATTCTCATTGCCCAGAGAATAAACTCACAATCACCACGACACCATCAAGCCTCTTCTACCTTGACAATATTCTCCATGACAGACTAATGGGCTCACTGTTTTTGCAACCAATCATGGTGTAGTATTTTCAATACTACAACCATTCAATACTACTTCAATCCAGATTTACTTTTGAAGAAAAAAAGTACAAATCCTAATTGAATCTTATAATGAGCCTGGGAAGTAAAACTCTTATCAGTTATTATATAATCATTCATTTTATGACAAATAACATACCTTTACAACTTTCACCAAGAATATACAGGCCCCTTCTGATGTCTCATTATGGTGTAAGAGTGTCCCTGGGCTTTTGAAAGATATGCCAACAGAATAGAAGCTTTTCTAAGTCTTACCAAACTATTAGTATGGCCCCCTTAATGAACTTACATGTTTATCCCCATAGGTACCTCATGGCTAAGTTTGGAGAATTTCATTACCAGACTGGCTGCAGGGTGGGAAATGTCATGAATGGCAACTCTTAAAGAATGACTTCCAAACTATGGAGTGGAGGGAGGTGGGGTGTTAGGGTTAGGTGGGAAGGCCTGTTTAGTTAGTCAGAGATCTGTATTGGTGGAAGGAATATCCACACTGATGAAACCACAGATCCTTGGAAGTATATGCAATATATTTATTTATTAAAGGCACATTTACACCATGAAAGGTCAGGTTGTGCATAAAGACTGATACAATTAGAACTACTTGATTTCTTCAGGTATCATTTAAACATACCAGACATGGTTGCTGAGACAAACTACCCAGAAATTGAGTAGGGTTGCTGTACAAGATGGTCATAGACTTAAAAAAATAAATCAAAAACCACCTAGCTCCAAGTATTTTATTAGACCTTGTACTCTTTCTATTTTTCTAAATTTTCCCTATCTTCCTCCAACAATACTTCTGTGAGAAATTTTCTCCTAAACCACAATTAACTGAACTTCAAAGTGTCCATCTTCATTTTACTGGTAAAATAACCTGAACCATCTCATGAAGTTGTTAGCTCTTGCCTTCAAAGAAAGCCTGCCAAAAACGAAAAACATCAGGATTATAGAAAGTTTTCATTTTAAGAACAACTCAAATTTAGGAATCCATATTATTTTTTTGAGAGGGGAAGGTTTGAAAATGTTCAAGTTCTATCCAAATTCAAGCACCGTTTTTTGGGAAGGCCACTTTATCTGTCTAGTTTTTGCTATGCAGCAATTCATGACAATATCTGTACATTTCAATGAAACTAATCCAATATCAGCTCTGTACACTTGGATTCTGGCTACAGTCCCAATGCTATGCCTGTATGAGCTACTGCCTTTTCTTTGAAGGAGGACAGCTTCACAGCTTACTCTTTGGAAGGTCTGTGGTATGTATGGTGCCTGTGGGCAGGTCGTTTTCCAAAGACTTGCCGATACTTCATTCAGAAAGATACACATTTCAAGATTCAATCCTCTTCTGCTATTGGCAGAAATCCCTTCAAAATGGTCAGGAAATTCTAATACAAGAAAATCTGTTTTCAGGACACATAAACCACTTTTTTTTTTAAAAAGGTGATGCCCTTATCCTGGAATTCTAAAATTTAATCAAAGAACAAAATGGCTCACATAAAATTTAAAACTTCTATAAAACTAAAGTACAATTTATTGGAGGGAACTAGATTTTAAGCAAAACCCTCCCAATTCCCTCCAAAACAAAACTAAAAAGGGTATCTGCTTATACAAGAGCAATAAAAAAAATTAAATATTTATTTGAATAACAAGTTTTAAGTTCAAGCTGCAATGTTGGCAATGTAGATTTTAACACAGATCACAAAAAGCGTGCACAAAAAGTATTGGAGAAAAGGACAAAATAATGCTAGGAATTATGCTAAACAGTTGCTGATTTTTAAGAAAACGAAGGTCTGTAACCACTATACAAAATATAAAATGTATTAAACACTACCATCCACAGAACAGTCTTTTTATTATTGATTATATTTAAAAATTATTTGTGTAGTTAATTATATACTAAATTGTAAATGAATATTATACATTAATCCCCTTTTGGTCGGCAATTCCTTGCTGCACTATAGCACATCCAATTATATTGCAAAAAGTTAGCAATTTCCCCCCCTTTTAATAAAGAAAACAATTATTGATATTACAGTAAATATTATAAGGTCTACAAATATGAAATGAAAATTTCTCCTTCAACTTCAAAGTGCTTTCCATGCAGAGTTAAGCACTTGCCTTATTTAATTGAGTGCACTACTAAGTCCAGGGTCGGAGAGATGCTCTTGGATCATAAGACTAGACTTTACAAATAAAAGACTGAAAGTAATCATGCAACCCTCTTACTACTACTGGGTATACCCCTTGTGTCACCTACCCATTCTGCCTTTCCAGAATACCACTCAAGACATCAAAAAATTATTAGACTTATAATGATAAATATACATGTAATGAAGACACAAATTGCTAAATGACACTACTACTGGTAATGTCTGTGCTACGTGAAAGCACCTTTAAAAAGAGCCTATGCGGCGAGAGATAAGTGTCTAAAGATTCAAAATGAATCAACAGTATTGGATAACAATATAATTCTCAACTCAGAAGCTGCCTCAAGATTAGGTGCATCTTCAGTTAATGTAACAGGAAAAAAAGGCAATGGATTTTATTTTATTAATTGCATCCACTCACAAATTGACCTAAGGTCACCAGATGTGTAGACACAATGAGATTTTTTTTACAGTCTTTAATTGTAATGATGATAAAGGAATAGATCTATTTAAAAACAAAACCAAATAGCTATTTTTGTCTAGATTAAGAGGTGGCACCAGGCGTGGGATTCACATTTTGGGTGGCCACTTGTGGTGCTACTTCGATGATCCGGGGTTTGTCTATAATTCTGGCTGTACGGTTGCCTTTCTCTACAATCCCAATAATCCATGCTTGGTGACCTTCCCCATATTTTGGGGACTTAATCTCTGCGCAGAATCGAGCTGCCTGCTCACGTGGTAAACAGATCAGAAGGCCTCCTGGCAAAGAAAAAAGGATCATTGATTAGTTTTTGACTATTTCTGAGTAACAAAGTATTTCTGTCATCTTTACCCTCTTCAGCTATTTGCAGAGAAACAAACTGAATACAAATCAACTTTTCTGTTCTATGAAGCATGTTTCTTTTATTTTCCTTAAGCTGAGGCCTATAGCCTGTTCTGCCTTTCCTTTTGCAACACATTTTCATTTTATTTAGCTATTTTCTGATGAAATTATAAAATTTGAGGCTTTCTTTTTAATTCTGAAAGCCTTTCATGAAACTGTGCAGGTAAGAGTGGTGTGTTTGGGCACTGAGTTACGGAATTTGGGCTAGTATCTATTTTTTCTAGTTTATGATTAAAATAAAAACAAAATGAAACAAAAAACCAAAGTTAATTCTTTTAATTCTAAATAATTCTCTTATCTTGAATCCCTAGTTCCCCTGTCCTTACTAAACAGCAATGAGGGATCATTCCCATCATCCACATTCTTGGCTCATGTTATTGCCAAATGGAACTGGAGGAAATAATGAAATCATACTGAGAGAGTCAACTGAAAATTTAAGCTAAATAATCTCAACTGGGTCCTCATTGAAGAAAAGCAATCCTACTATAACCACAATTGACCTCCTATCCTATCCCACTCATGACATCCAAACCTTTTCTTCTCTCTTCAACCTTGCTATGGCACCACTCCCTCCACCCCGACAACTGAAAACCTCCTATTTCATTGAAAAATTTGAGGCCATTTGCTGAGAGCTCCCTCTTTCCACACAACATAATCTCCACTATTTCCTCCTTCAGTTTAGTCTCCAATTAGGAGGTAGCCCTTCTGCTCTCCAAGGCCAACCCTTCTGCATGTACCCTTGATCCTATCTCATCACTTCCTGTCTTCTCTAACACATGCCATCACTCCAATGTTCCATTGACTGCCTCCCTGTCTTTGAATAGGCTGTAACTCCATGCCTAGAATGCTTTCTCTCCTAACCTCCTGCCTTGATGACTCCACAACTTCCTTTAACACAGAGTTCAGACTATTACCTGTGAGAGGCATTTCCAGTTTTCCCAGATGCTAGTGCTTTCCCATCTATGGCTACTTTTTATCTACTCTGCATCTTGTATCTTGTATGTACATGCTGTCTTTCCCATCAGAATGTATGCTTCTTGGGGGCAGGAGCTGTTTTTGCTTTTTCTTTGTATCCCCAGAACTTAGCATAGTGCCTGGCGCATAGTAAGTGCTCAATAAATGCTTGTTGATTGTTCATCTCAATTTGATTTTCTGTAAAAGTGTCTTACCTTAAAACATATCTGAAAATATATTTTCTAAAAAAACCAGAGAAAATTAAAGACAAATGTGAGAGTCAAGAGACTTAGGTCCAGCCCTTGTTCTAATGCTATGTACCTGTGTACCTGCCCTTGGGTATTCACCTCACCTCTGTAGGCTTCAGTTTTCTCACCTGTAAAATGACGAGTTGAACTAAATGATCTCTAGGTTCTCTTTCAGCTCTAACATTCAACGTGCCTATGACCCAAACTAGTAACAACCCTAAGATACATCTGGGGTGTTCTTCTCCATGACTGCTAGGATCTGGCTGAAGAAACTGTTCTGCAGTCAGTGGCAGTAGGAGAAACTTACTGCCTAGCTTTGCTATTCACATAAACACCATCCCAAATTTGTTAGCCTACTGTTTTTATTAGATATTCATTTCACTGCCATCCCAAGCTCCAAAAAGAGTAAAACAAATACAAACTGGTCTTTTTTTAAATTACATTTCCACAGAAATAGTGCTGAAAATAATTTTTATTAATTCTGAATAGGGAAAACAAAGTTTAATTTGCTGGTAGTTTTCTAAGACAAGAACTGCTAAAGTGCTCAAAGTTTTAGTAACACTGGGAAGACTACTAGAAAAATTGATGTCTAACATGGTTTCTCAGAATTTCTTAAAAAACACACCATCTCAATGTACCTTGTATCGGTTTTTACACGGGGCTGGAAAAAGAACAATAGTCACAGTCACAGAAAATAAAACAGAGAGTGAAGAAACAAAGAGGGAGGAACAAGAAGACTTAAAAGATGAAAAAGTAATAATCAGGAAACGAGGAAAAGAAACAGAGAGAGTAATAACAATAGATGAGTTCTCCAGAAAGAACACATTTTATAGTTTGATGCTCAAAGTCTACATCTGGCCCAGTACTATAGCAGGTGATCACGTCTATAAGCAGTATCTGGGATTCTGATTCTACCAATTCAAAGACCAAGTTTCTAAGGATAACTCAGTCATCACAAATCACCTTCTACTTCATGAGAGAAGCTGAAGCACCTTAACTACCTTACAAAGCCACAGGAGAGGTACATTTGACCCTCAAACTATAAAGAAGCTCAAGGACATCTACACTGATCTTCCATCAAAAAAAAAGAAAAAAAGACATCAAAATCATGTCTTTTGCTTCTATATTGCTTTCTTGAAGTTTCCACAGAATTTCCTGGTACACAAAGCAATATGCCTTTTTTTTTTTAAAAGACAAATATGATCCTACTGACCTACCATCAGTACGAAGCATGAATTTTGAGGAAGTTTGCCTGCATTAGCGATAAATCTAGATGGAGCCACCCATACTCTTGACTAGTTTTCTCCACCTCTCCAATGAACAACACCAAAACCCATAAATCCATATGAAGAGTGTGCAATTGTAAGACCAGAGCTATAAGGGTCCAGCTTAGTCATAGTATAGAGTAAAGCTAAAGACGTTGTTCCATCCAGAAACTGAATCAATGTCTTTGATCTCATTAGCAACAGGCAAAATGTGCCAAGTGGCCTCACCTGATGTCTCTGGGCAGGTTCCATGCATAAGGCCAAACATGTTTCCACAGGCCTTACTAACAGCAGCCATCTTGGCCAAAACTGGAAGGTTGTGGATGACAAAGGACACTTCATTCCTCTGTTGCTTAGCAAGGTTCTGTGCGTGGCCCAAGATCCCAAACCCTGTGATGTCCGTGGCTGCATGTGCGTTAAAAGTATGCATAAGTCCAGCAGCTAAAAGAGGGGGGAAAAAAAGATGCCACTAATTACATATATTTGGTTATCTGACAAAAAGACCAAATTTGCCATGTGTCCCCTTAACTCAAACTCCTGCATAGGCTGTTGGACTTAAGTCATTTGACAGGTAGTTGGCACAAAATTCTCATGTTTTCCTCTATCTATTGTCCCTCTTCAAAAACTAAATAAACAAAAAATCTTGGACCTAGTTTTCTATCTTGTATATTAAACTTATGAACCACAACTTTAATCACTAGTAATTAATGGATAAATTTAAAATTTGTAAAGGGATTTACGAAAGATTAAACTTCAGGAGATGACGGAACAAAAGACTATCTAGAACATCTTTAAATGGAAGATAACACAAAATTATGCTGTTTTGTAGTGATGTCTTCTAAAATGCAGACTGGAAAAAGGATTTGGCATCACAGCATGTGGGTTTCAATCCCTCTACTGTCACTTACTAGCTATGTGATCCTGGGCAAATCATTTCCCCTCTCTGGGGCTAAGCTTCCTCATCTGTAAAGGAAGAATTTGGACTAAATTATTTCTAAAATCCTTCCAACTCTAAATCCTCAGATGACCTTTTAATCTGAATGAGGTAGTAAATATAATAGTCCTAATTATTATTATGTTTAAACAGTTTAGGCACAGTCTATTCAAGTTACTTTGCCAGTAGTAGAACAGGGTAGAATTACAAATAAGGGATGACTATGACTTTGTAAAACCTTGACCTGGATTTTGTAAGTTTTTCACAATTATCTCTTATACTTACAGAATAAGAGATCACAAAGGGAGATATACTTTTGAAAATAAGTTGTATTGTTTCTTCTTTTATTTCACTATCACTCCCCCATCCCCAAATACCCTTGTGATAAAAGAGTACCAAATAGCACAACAAAGGAGTACACTGACCATGTTTCACAATATAAGCCCCATTCAACGTCTAGAATACCCCCCACCTCTCTATCAAGAGGATGAAAGTGTTTTATCATCTCTCTAAAAGCAGTTCTATCTCAAAAATCTGTGGTTCCACATGTGTGAGGACTTATTCCACAAAAATATATTCTGTTCCCCGAAAGCAGGTTGAGAATATTACTACTCAATAGTGAAATGGTAGGTCATGAGATGCATAGCCAAAAAAAGTCATCTTCTGGCCAACTCCTTCGTGATGTGACTCTTTCACCTTAACTGTACTGGTGTTTAGGCAACAGACATACAGTCCAATTTTGAGTCTGTACCTGAAGTCTTTCCAGTTTGATAGGTTTTGTCAGAAGTAACAGAATAGCTGTGTAGATTAGCCAGAGGCTCTGCATCATTGACACAGCACTTGAGGGTCATCTCCTCTCCACAATGAGGCATTAAAAGTAGGATACTAGGATACAGAAGTATCCATTATCAAGAAACTAAGTCAGTAATAGGAGGTCTATATTGAGGTGCTGACTGTATTCTTTTCCCAATCCAAGGCTTCTTAAGTGTCTAAATCTCAGCAAAAATCCACACAAAAAATAAGAAAGCCATCATTTGATACTCAAAAAAAATTAAAAAAAAAACCAAAAAACTATTACCTAGTAATTAACATTTATCTGCCTTAAGAGAAAACTATTAGAAGTTCAGAAAAACTAAACTGTGAGTTACTAGGGGAAATGAAGATGTTGGGAAGGAGCATCAATCAGGAATTTGGAGTCCTGAAGAAGGAAATGAAATCTTATGGAAAGAATCAGATAATTAAAAAAAGTTAATAGCTAAGATTTATATAGCACTTGAAAGTTTGCAAAGAGGTTTTACATATATTATCTTATCTGAGCCTCATAACAACTCTCTGAAGTGGGTGGCCTTTATCCCTGTTTTACAAATTGGGAAAGTAAGTCTGAGGGAGGTTAAATTATTTGCCCAGCGTCGTACATCTAGTAAGTGTCTAAAATAAGATTCAAACTCAGGTCCTTCCTGACTTCAAGTGAGTGTTCTATCCACTAAGCCAAAAGGCTGTCTCAATTAAAAATAAAAGATAAACTGTTATTTAAAAAAGCAATATATTACAGTAGTAAAAACAGGAAAAAGAGAAAAAGAAAATGCAGGAGACAAGGTTGATAAGGGATCTCTATTCCCAAACCTTTTTCATAGTTCTTATAACTTTTTTGAAACTCAGAAGTAAAAGAGTAGAGCTGGGAAAAAGTCTGGAAATAATCCCTAGAGAAGCATCATGACAGTGGATATTCCTGGACATTGAGCCAGGCAGCTGAAATAGGTTCAAACCCTTCCTCTATTACTTAATAGCAATATGACCATGGACAAGACACTGGCAATCTCTGAGGCTCAGTGGCCTTGTCTGAAAAAATAGGGATAATATCACCATAGGCAACTATCTCACAGGATTACTATATTATTGTGAATGAGGTAATATATGTAAAGCACTTTACAAACTTTAAAACATTACATAAAATGTCAGCTACTATTCTCATTTTACAGGTAAGGATTTCTATACGACTTACACGTATATAAGTTAATAGCAATTAGAAAATAATTTGTGGAGAGGCAGAGTCAAGATAGCAGAAGAGTAGAAATCAATTCAGTGAGCTTCCCTCCCCAACCCAACTCCTTCAAATAGATTTAGAAAATGAACTGGACTGAATATTGATGGTAAAATCCAAGAAAAAGGCACAGTAAGTTATTTTCCAGCCCAGGTCAGGACAGGAAGCAGACAGAGAGGTCTGTAGACACTGGAGACTAATTCTGGCCAGGAACAGCCAAGAAAAGCACTTCAGCATCCACAGAGCAGCTGTATACCAGGTCAAGATGAGGTCCCAAACCAATACCGGGCACCTTGACAAGAACAGGTACCAACTGGCAGCTTTGTTGCCCACTTTTCAGTTCCAGGTCAGAGATCCAAAGTGAACTAAAGGGTATATCTGCACCAAGGGATGGTGTTCTGTGGTAAGGAGTAGTTGCAGGTGCTAGGTTTGTACCAAGCAAGGAGCAAGTTCAGAAGCAAGCAGCAGCACTGTGGCACAGACCCCAGGAGCAGAGCAAGGTCTCAGTCCCAGCTTCCAGCCTAGTCTGCCAAGGAATAACCAGGGCAGGAATCCCAGACCAAAGGGGAGGCAACAGTTCTGTCACTCTGATCTAGTGGAGCTTTCCAGCTGGCTAAGAGTCCAGCAGGAGAATAACTGTTTGGGTCAGTTGCTCAGACCCACACCCAGGTCAGGAATTTGCAAGTTTAGACCAGGGGCCAACAATCAGACTTTGCCCTGGGTCAGATCACTTTAGAAACATTGAAAGGTCATTTTTATTTGTGTTTACCTTTCCAAATAGCAAATCAGTTTACCTTCAAATCAGTCAGGGACCAGCTTGCAGATCCCTATGCTGAGCTGTCCCTGAGAGCCTGGAATAACACAACACTTAACACAAAAAGCTGCAACAAAAGCAAAAAGCCCAAACCTTTCTCCAAGAAGTGTGCAGAGCCCAGCCCTGACATAAAGTCGGAAGTCTGAAAATAAGTGGGAAGAATAAGCAAATAAAAAAAGAATCCCTGTATAAGGAAGGGCGGTAGGGACACTCAAGACATAAACCAAGAAGAAAAGAATGACTCCAAAACATCTATAAGCAAAGCCTCAAAGAAAAACACAGCTTGGCCACAACTTCAACTGGAATTCCTAGAAGAAATAAAGTGATTTTTTAAAAAAGTTTAAAAAATTTTTTCAAATAAATGAAATGAGAGTGCTAGAAGAAAAAATTGGAAAATAAATAAAAGCTATGGAAGAAAGAACTAGAACAGAAATTAACAGCTTGGTACAAGAGGTACAAAACCTTAGCCAATCATCAAACTCCCTGAAAATTAGAATGGACCAAAGAAAAAACAATGATTCCTAAGAACAAGAAATATTAAAACAAAGTTAAAGACTGGGAAAAAACAGAAGAAAACATAAGGCATCTTATAGCAAAAATTGCCCTAAAAAAACAGATTGAAAAGAAAAAAATGAAAAATCAATGGGCTACACCTAAACACCATGATCAAAAAAAAATCTTATACATTACATTTCAAGAAATCTTAAGAGAAAACTGCCCAGATCTCATAGAACCAGAGGGCAAACAGAAATAGAAAGAATCCACTGATCAACTCCTGAAAGAAACCCCAAAAAGGAAAACTCCTGTGAACATCATAGCCAAAATCCAGTGCTTCCAGGGCAAAGAAAAAATACAGCCAAGTAGCCTGAGATAAAGAATTCAAATATCAAAAGATCCGCAGTCATGATCACACACAATTTTGCAGCCACCACTCTTGGAGCTTGGAATACAATATTTCACAAGGTAAAGATGACAGAGGTTTATGATCATGAATAACTTACCTAGAAAAACTAAGTATAATCCTACAGGGGAAAAAAATAAAAAAGGATGTCTATGCATTCCTGTTGAAAAAAACAGAGCTATGTAGAAACTCTTAAGTTTAAACAGAGGAGTTAAAAGAAGCATAAAAAGATAAACACAAATGAACAGCTATCAGAGATTAAATAAAGAAACTGCTTACATTCAAATATGGGGAGATGATACATATGTCTCCTCTGAACTCTATTCACATCAGGAGTCATAGGAGTCTAATTAGACAAGGCCCAGGAATGGCTCTGTTATGTCTAGATGATTATAAAAGAAGAACATAAGGAGAGGGAAAGAGGAAGACAATAGAGTGGGGTGGGAGAAGGAAAGGAAGATTAGGGAAAATTCTTTCACATAATTGGGGTGCAAAAGCTGACATCAATACAAACAAGGAAGAGAAAATTTAGGAGGATCAGCAGACACTTGAATCTCACTCTTATCTGAATTGGTCAAAAGAGAGAATATACATATACATACACATATGTGGGTACAGAAATGCATTTCACTCAATAGGGAGATAGGAGGGAAAGGGGAGAAGGGGAATTAAAGAGAGGAGAGAGTAAGGGAAGGATTAGTTCAAGCAAAACAAACTCTACCTAAAGACGTACCAAATTATTAACAACTCTTTTCACATGTCAAAGAATGGAAATCTGAAGGAGTGCCCATAGATTGGGGAACACTGGTGAACAAGTTATGGTTTATAAATGCGATAGAATACTATTGTGCTGTAAGAAATGATGACGGGGATACCTTCACAGGAACCTGGGAAGACTTAAATGAACTAATGCAGAATGAAATGAACAGAACCAGTAGAACAATTTATACAATGCCAATAATGTGGAAGAGACAAATCACTTTGAAAGAATTAGCAACTCTGATAAGTGTTAATGACCAGACACAAATTCAGACAACTAATGATAAAACATGCCACCCACGTCCTGAGAGAGAAGTGAAGGACCCAGAAAGTAAAATGAAAATTTTTTTGGACGTGGCCAATGCAGAAATTTCATGTATTTGGTTTTTCTTTTGTTCTCAATTGAGGGAGTGCGTTGGGATAAGAGGGAGAAGGTACACTTTTTGCTGATAGAAAATAACATATAATTTTTAAAAGAAAAAAAGAAGAAACTAACTTGTAGAGGAGGAGGAAGGAGAAGAAAAAGAGAGATAAACTGTGAGTGACAGTTGCCTTAACAAAAATTCCTATAACTTCATCTATTTACTTCACATATCTCAGTGAATCTAAAAGCAGCTCTTTGTATGACCCCAATCCTCAGCTACAATACATGATCAATTCAATTCTATGTGAATAAAGAAAATGTTTTGGGGTAGAGTTCTTTTAGTTTGTTTTTTGTTTCGCTAAACATTAGAAACAAAAACAAAATAAAAAAACTTTATTAGGAAGTATTGCTTTGCTATTCTAGAAAAGTTGTAAGACTTCAAAAAATAATGAGTAGTCCTTCATTCCTGATTCTAGAATTGAAATATGGTACTCCTTAAGTATAAATAAAGAGTAATCAATCAATCAACAAGCATTATTAAGCATTTATTACGTGCCAGACTTTGTTAAATGCTGGGGATACAAATGAAAGGCGAAAACAAATGCAGCCCCTGCTCCTAGGAAACTTAAATTTTAATAGAGGAAACAACATGTACATAAAAAGATATATCCAAGACACAGAGTAGGTGGAAGGTTACATTAGAGGGGAACTAGCCATCTGAGGATAATGAATTCCTGTCTTAGAAATAAAGTTATTATCTTTGCCATGCATTGCTACCCCTCTCTAGGAGACAATCGTATTACTCTATAATTTTTCTGTTTCATTCATAGTGGGTTTTTTTAATAGCTCTAATCTTGGTGGAGGTCACAATAACTATATCACAAAACAATGAAATGGCTTTAATTATAACAAGGTCACTAAAACAGCAAAAAACAAATAAACAAACAAACAAAAAAAACCCAACTCATATTCCAGTAAAGGTAATGGAAGAAAAATGGAATGATGTAAGGAATGACAAGCATGGAATTACCCATTTACATACCCCAAATCAAGGAATCAAAACAAACAGAGTAGTGTTAGCATTTTAATTAACTGAAAATTATTGTGCAAATATTAGGAGCTGCATAAATTTTTTTCTTTTATTTCATTTGTATTTTTCCTGAAACTTCGAGGACATCTGATTTAAAGAAATTTGGATCTGAATGTAAGCTTAGATGTCAACTCATCATTTCCCACCTGATTGCTCTTCTGGATTTCATGATCTTCAGAAACTCATTATTCTTCAAAATAAAATCAACTCTGAAGCTCAGATTTCTATATTCCCTACCCCTAGCGTCCTTCCCTTTCCCTGACTGGAGAGGGTGGGGAGTGGACCCCGGAGAGTCCCAACCAGATCCTCTACCATGTAAGGAAGACACCCGGGGAATTAATCTCTTCATTTCCCACCTGGCTGCTCTCCTGAATTTCCTGCTGTCCAGAATCTCATCATTTTGTAAGATGAATTCAAGTCTGTAACTAACACCTCCTCTGATCATATTCTGCCTCAGCTGTTGGACAATATCACTCCCCGAGCTGACCCCCTTACTTTTCAGGTTCCTTTTACGTGTTGTCTTCTTCCATTAGATTGTAAGCTCTCTGAGGTCAGAGACTGTCTTATGCCTTTATTTATATCCCCAGTGCTTAGCACAGTGCCTGGCATGTAGTAGGCGCTTAAAAAATATTTATTGACTGATTTACTGATCCAACTGAACTGCTCCCCACACTTTGCAGGTAAGGAAATTGTCACTATCTTGCTCTACCATCACACTTTTCAACAGAGTTAAAGGCAAATTATGGTCTCTTTATCAGTCTCACAAACAACTTGCCATTTTTGTCTTGCTTAGGACCATTTTTGACATTTTGGAGGAACATGTAACAACAGCAATGATCTGCATAGCATCTCAAGGTTGTAAAACACTTACATCACAAGAAGAAATGTTAGAATCCTCTAGTTAAATCCCATCGTTTTACAGAAGAGGGAACTAAGGTCCAGGGAGATAAGAGATTGGTTCAAGGTGCCTAGTTAGCTAGTGGCAGAGGCAGAACACAAACCCAAGTCGCCTGACTCCAATGTTCAGGTTCTTTTTCCATGGGGCCACAACCCTGGAAGATTAAGCAGGGCAAACATCATATGAATGAG